GTTACATTCTTATTCTTTTTGTATACTTAATCATTGAATAAGAAATAAACAGTAGCATTCAGAGTTAGAACCTTGACTAGAATGTCATTAGGAAATCCTGTTAGTGGGTAGGAGCATAACATGGTTTTTAATAGTCATGTTTTTTCAGGAGTAGTCATAAAAATGAGTTTTTTATGACCTATAGGATAGGAATGGAGGCCAACGTTTATTATACTACCTGGTATATTTAATTTAAAATTCAAATATTTCTACTGATAGAAATATTAAAATAGGTTTCAGTGAATCAAACCTCCAAGTATTATCTTTTAAAACTATGAAAAATGAATAAATGAAGAAGTAAACTATGGTCTGGAGCAAATGAAATAAAAGTACCATTACTTTAATAAACTGTTGTCTTCTCAGGCTCATGAGAGGCTTGAAGATTCAAAACTAGAAGCTGTCAGTGATAATAACTTGGAATTAGTTAATGAAATTCTTGAAGATATCACTCCCCTAATAAATGTGGATGAAAATGTGGCAGAACTGGTTGGTATACTCAAAGAGCCTCACTTCCAGGTAACCTTTCCCTACAGCTCTTCTCCCCAAGTTCCCTATGTTCCTGAAATTCCTTAGTAGTTCATTTCCAGTTTTAGGTGATTTTTTTTTTCTTTGGAGAATTACTTGAGGCCGTTTTTTATAAGAATATAAATTCCAACTTAGATAGTTTAATATTCTGATATGCTGAAAATACATAAATACACAGATATAACTGTACCTACTGTATAAATGTACAGAAATACATCACCATGGATTTTCCTTTGTGCAGTTAAAGAAAACAACATCCCTTTTATAAGATCAGGTATCATGCTAGCAAAATTTCCTCACCATGAGAATGTAATTTTTTTCTTCTTTACTGCCACTTTGTTTCCCATTACTCTTTGGGGTCAATGATGAACATTTTTTAGTATTGCTTCTCAAGACTCGGGTGTGGTTGATGATATGAAACAAAGGAGAGCTAAGGGTAGAAACTATTAACAAACATACTTATTCCACAAAGAAATAAGTACAGTTTAAAGTTTGGTCAGTAAATGAGTTAATCATTTTCACCAAGAAGAATCTCCTTCATCAAATGACAAAAAGATTTCTTTTAAAAAACCTGAATTAATCAGGATAGTGTGATATTGGGGAGTGTTAGGAAAATAGATGAATTGAAGAGAATGAAAACCCCAGAAATACATTCAGTCATATAGGGTAACATGATTTTTGACAGAGACATTACTTTTTAGTGGAGAAAGGGTAACTAAGATGGAAGAATGTCACACGTTTTCCTTTGCAAATTCCATTGCAAATTTCACGTTTTCCATTGCAAAATCAAATAGTAACACCCCTTTGCTTTTTCTCAAAGTCTTTATGTGACTCTACAATAAATATGAAGATAACAGTGGGATGGGTCCTACATCAATCAGCACCTTTGGTACAAAAGCTGCAGACACACAGCAGGCACACGTTTTATGCAGGGACTAGTTGACTGTGTTCTTATAAGGAATGCTAAGGTATTTATGTTTTATCTTGGAGACAGTCAGAATCCTAGTGGAGAGAAGGGTATTGTACATATGAGTTTCCAACCTAAATCTGTGTGTGACTTCTGTCTGTCAACCCCTTTTCCTCTTATGATGTTGACTTACTGAAGAGTCCAAGCCACTGTCATGTAGAGTGTGGCACTTCCAGGATTTGTCTGGCTGCTGCCCTGCTGGGTTATTCAGTTATCAGTTCTATTTCCTATTACCAGAAGTTCTAGCTAAAAGGTTTATGATTCAAATCCATGATTTAGAACTACAGTTCATCTTAAGTGATTTGCAACATGAATTAGACTGTCAGAAGAAGTAGAATACCTGATTGCCGCCCCCCCCTCACATTGTTGATTTGGTTCCTGAGTAAAGATGACAGTCTATTGTTTTCTATAAAATCTCCCCATGAAGTAATCTAGTCTGTTATTATTCTGACGTTATATAAATGCTAGTTCCTATCAACCATTTACCTTCTCGAGAACACAAATTAATAATCTTTGCCTAGATCAATATTTTCATTAGTGGTTACAATATGACTCTTTTTTTTCAAATTCTTGTTCTATTTTTATTAGCTGTGTTCTTTGATAAATGTAAAGCTTCTCATCAGAGGGGCTGTTACCCTATAATGGATTTCCTCCTGGAAAAGCAGAGAAATGCTAGATCCTTCTCTTTACCTATTTTCAAAGCAAAGACTTGTTTAAAATAGCATTTTCTTATGATAACAACTTAGTTTCATATGATACCAACTTAGTTTTTTAGTCTTTTTGTGTTTTAAATAACATTGTGTACTTATTCAGTGTTTCAAGTATAATTACTCTTTGATTTTCAAATTGTCAAGACTTTAGCCATGTGGACAGATTTTTAGTACATTAATCTGAAGCATATGAGAGTTCTGAACTAGAATATAGGAAATTAGGAGTGTGTAAGAAGTGGTTCAAGTAACAGGAATGAAAAATACTGCCTGAGAATACAGGGTGGACAACCAAGCAGCCCAGCCTAGAGTTTTGAATAACTTCCAGCATTTATAGGAAGAATTCTTAACATATGCATTTGGGAGTTCCTTTTGAATTTTTTTTCTCCAGTTTCTTACAAATGATTTCATGAAATGACTAGGAATTACCAATTAAACCAATATCCAGATTGTTTTTTTTTTTGTGTGAACTTGGTGTTATATGTTCCCCTCTTCTATTTTGATTTATTGTTTTGAATTTGTAGTCTGTTCACTCAAAATTTTTTTTTAAATTTAGCATTATGATGAATATGTGCAACTGTAGTAAAACTTATTCCTTTAGGGTAAGGATTGACAAACATTTTAAATATATAAAAATGTAAGAAATTCCTAGAATGCTAGATCAAAATCATCCATGATAATAACACAGAGAGGGAATATAATTTTAAAATGCAATATATGGAGAATCTTTACTAACTCATTTTTCCCTCAAAAATGTCTTTTATAGATTAAACCTTTATTAGTAGCAAAATTTTCTATCTCTGATATAAGATGCAGATATTTATCTATTTTCTAATTCACATCTTTTTTAATACATTCCATAGATTTAGAAAATATATCAAGTTATTAGCAACATAAGTGTAAATATTAGGGTCCTTGTCATTTGGGTTTTTATAATACCTAATAAAATAAGAATTAATGGTAAATACTAAATTATTTTGATGACCTAGGTTTGGTTTCCAGTGAGCATGTCATTTTAAAAACATGTGACTGAATTCTTTCAATCTCTTCAAATCTAAGACAAGAATATAATACTATTTGATGATGAAAATATTTAAAGCTATTTTATATAATTCTATTTTATATATTTAAAGCTATTTTTATATTTCTTTAAAAATATTCTATATATATTTGATTCAATTCATGTTTGGGAATTTAATAATGTACGCCTGGGAAATTTTTAGTACACCACTGGGCTAATGAACTAACAAATTATTTTTAGTAACTTATTCCATCAGTAGCTAATAACCACAGGCTGTGTTCACTTCTTACAGTCACTCTTGGAAGCCCATGATATTGTGGCATCAAAGTGTTATGATTCACCTCCGTCAAGCCCAGAAATGAATAATTCTTCTCTCAATAATCAGTTATTACCAGTAGATGCCATTCGTATTCTTGGAATTCACAAAAGAGCTGGAGAGCCATTGGTAAGTAGATAAATCAGTGCCTTCTTAAATCTTAAATGTAAACAAATTGTGACTCAGTCACTACTTTTATCTGTTTTTTTTTCCTTTTTCTTAACATAATCTGAAAACTTTTTATCAGTCTTTTTTACCCACATATAAACACACAGCTGACAGTCTCTCAAATTGATTGAGCATATAAAACTAAAAATAAAAGTTTAACTTAGAATTAGATGTTAGAAGTATGCCAGTAGGTATCAAAGAATTCAAAAGAGAACTACTTCAATTCTTTCTGTCTTTAAAAAAATAATGAACTCGGGTTGCTTACTAATGATAGTATTAAAACATGGTAAAAGGTTGGTTATTAAAAATTGAAGCCATTTTTCAAATACCTGTAAGTAGTGAAGTTCACTGTTTCTGCTGTTGTGGATCCTAAAAATAGTGAAATGAAGAAAAGGAAAAGCCAAGAATGAGAATGCACAAATACCCTTTCATATTTCCTTGACCTTCCTTTTATCCTGTGGAATACAGCCTAGATACTAGTATTTGTTTCATTTTTAGGGTTAACTTTACCAAGAAAGTTCTTTTTGATGGGTGCTGTATATTCTTACAATTGCATCTAGCTGAATGGGATTAAAATATTAAGACAGGATTGATCAAGGGAAAAGTAAGAACAACTTATATAGCTTTGGAATTATTTCTTATATTCATGAATATTTACCTATTTCTTCTTAATAAAATAAAATAAATGGTTATTCTATTTCTTGTTTCTTCTAGGGTGTAACGTTCAGGGTTGAAAATAATGATCTGGTAATTGCCCGAATCCTTCATGGAGGAATGATAGATCGACAAGGTCTGCTTCATGTGGGAGATATCATCAAAGAAGTCAATGGCCATGAGGTTGGAAACAACCCAAAGGAATTACAGGAATTACTGAAAAATATTAGTGGAAGTGTCACCCTAAAAATTTTACCAAGTTATAGAGATACCATTACTCCTCAACAGGTTAGTAATAAAAGTTTGGTAATGTTAAGAATACCTAATAACTCTGTTAGATATAACCCACCAGTTGCTACCATTTTTGCAAAAGGAAAGAATTGCTTTAATTTTCTGAATTGATTTATTTTGTTATAGGTGAATTAATGAATTTTTTAAAAACACTATCTTGCTATTATAAAGGAAATAGAAAGTACATTTTTTGTGAACACTGTGAACCTCTGTCCTTACATCTAGGTATCAGAAAAACCATAAATCCATTTAAATATTAATGTACAAACATTTTTGACATGTATTCCAGGCTTTGTATTAAGGCCTTTGAGAGGACATTGTGTATATCACTTCCAGATTAGTGTTCATGTGATAGGCTGAATAAAGAATGAAGCTAAAAAGGAGGATGGATACAGAAGATCTTGGACGCTTGGTTTGCAGACATTTGATCTGTATTTTAGGTAAAATAGATATTTGAATAAGGGAATATTTTAACAATCAAGACCAACTAGGTTAACAAGTGGCTACTGTAGTTATTGATGGAGATGATAAAAATGTATGATGAAATTATAAAGAAAGAAAAAGAAAGGAATTGCACAAAAATAGTTGAAAATTATAGTAGTATTGGAATGGAAAAGAGGATTTTCAAACTTAGAAAACAGAAATAGGAAATATCATTTTTTAGATTGATACCTCTAATGTTCAATTTTATTCCAGAAATTTATTATTTTATGTAGGAATGAAATTTTACATTTTCTTGCATAAAATACTGCCAAGGTATCTTCCTTCATATTGTTAATACTAGAGCACAGGAACTTTGTTTTTATCTTCCATATAATTCTTCAAAATAATATTTGTTGAATGCCTATTTTAAACTGTTCTCTGGAAAATAGGGTGGACTATTTAGTTTTGAGTTCTACCAAATAAATGGAGCTTCTGAAAATAATAGTTTATAATGAACTTTGATTGAAATGAAAGTGGAGACCTTAGTTTAAAAAAAAGGGAATTGTAAAAATAAAATGCATTAGTACTTAGACATCTCATGTTACTGTTACTTTTCCATTTGTGACAACATGAGACCTGTCTTGCACCTCAATAGATTAGAAGAGTGAAATCTAAGTTTTGCTATTTTTTGGTTATTTTATATGCATTGTGATAGGAAGATCCCTTCAAACCCCCTTCCCCCAATGGTCTTAGCTTCAGAATTCCTACAGTTCCTACATGGCTACAATGGACTTTACCGGCAAAATACATTTTTGTGATATTAAGTTTCTATGTAGATTCTGTATCTTTTTAAAAAATTTTTTAATTTTTTCTAATTAGTTATACATGACAGTAGAATGTACTTTGACACATCATACATAAATGGAGTATAACTTCTCATTCTTTTGGTCGTACATGATGTTATAAAGATTGTGTAATCATATATGCACTTAGGGTAATAATGTCTGATTCATTCAACTATCATCACTTCTCCCAAAACCCCTCCCCTCCCTTCACTCCTCTCTAATAAAAAGTACCTCTGTTCTTCCCTAGTACTCCCCACCTTTATTGTGAATTAGCATCCAAATATCAGAGAAAACATTCAGCCCTTTGGTTCTTTGGGATTAGCTTGTTTTGCTTAGCATGATGTTCTCCAGTTCCATCCATTTACCTGAAAATGCCATAATCTCATCCTTCTTTAAGGTTGAGTAAGTTTCCATTATGTATATATACTATAGGTTCTTTATCCATTCATCTGTTGAAGGGCATCTAGGTTGGTTCCATAGTTTACTATTGTGAATTGAGCTGCTATAAACATTGATGTGGCTGTGTCACTGTAGTATGCTGATTTTAAGTCCTTTGGGTATAAACCAAGGAATGGGATAACTGGGACAAATGGTGGTTCCATACCAGGTTGTACTGCTTTCCATAGTGGTTTCACCAATTTGCAGTCCCACAAGCAATGTATGAGTATACCTTTTACCCCACATCCTTGCCAACATTTGTAGTTCCTTTTATTCTTGATAATTGCCATTGTGGCTGGAGTGAGATGGAATCTCAATGTAGTTTTGATTTGCATAGATTCTGTATTGTGTACACTGAATAGAATGAAATGTGTAGATATTTAGTCTTGACTTAAGTATATTTTCCTATCCCATACCTTCTGAAACTCTGGCTTTCACTTAGCCTTTAGAGCTGGAGGAGGGGATTAAAATGGGGGAGAAGAGGTCCTACAAGCTTGTGAAGCAGACTCAGGCCTATCCGACCGTAAAAATGGAAAGACTATAACATGGAGGATCCCAAAGGAGGACTACAGATGTCCAAAGGGGGACTTTTGTAAAAACAAACAGGGGAGCTATTACTCATTACATTGGAATAATAGACATAAGTCAGGACTGCCCTGGGCAACCCAGGAGCACCCTGCTAATGGAAACTATTAGAAAGGAAGGGCATTTAGCCTCCTCAACTCTGTGTAGTAGCTTTATCATATAGTTCAATAAATTTCACATGTCTCTGGTTTTGTTTTCTGCAGATTCAGTTACCTGCAGTCAACCAAAGTCTTAAAATGTTAATTGGAAAATTGCTAAATAAAGAACTCATATAAGTTTTAGATTGCACACTATTCTGATTAGTATGATGAAATGTTGCACTGCCCTGTTCCAACCAGAGGATGAATAATTCCTTCGCCTAGTGCACCTATGTATGCTGTGTTCGCTACCTCTCACCATTCACTTAATGGCTGAATCTATTACCTGATCACCAGTTGTGGTATCACAAAGCTTGTGTTTCTGCAACCCGTTTTATTTAATAACAACCCTGAAGCACAAGAAAAGTAATGCTGGCAATTCAGATATGCCAATTCAAAAGCCATAAAGTGATTCTTTTGAGTGAAAAAGTGAAACTTTGACTTAATAAAGAAAGGAAAATAATTCGATGCTGAGATCACTAAGATACACATCAAGAACAAATCTTTAAGCTACAAAATTGTGAAGAAAGATTAGTGCAAACTTTGTGTTCTCACCTCAAACAGCAAAAAATACGGCCATGTTGCCTATGAAGTGCTTAGTTAGGATGGAAAAGGCATTGAATTGTAGAGTTTGGTGCTATCAGAGATTTCAGGCATCCATTGAGAGATCTGGAATGTGTTCCCATGGGAAAGTGCAGATTCCTATGCTATGGAGTCAGTTGCAGCTCTTCTTCTAGATTTCTGTAAATGTAGATGGAAGCCAGGTGGTCTCCCTGCCATGGTGGTGTTTTTCAAAGCACGCCAGTAGATCATCTTTGTCAGAATGCTTTGGGATTACTAGCTAATAGTCCAAAATCTGTATGAAATCTTTTTAAATATGAGGACTAGGGTAATCTGGACATTGTAGCCAGTCTGAAGTTCTTCACCTTAAATGTAGTTTAGGTTTTAGAGGCTGTTCATAATTCTGTTTCTTCATTAGGACCAAACTAATAGGAATTCTCTTTTATTCATTGTTTAAGATCAGCATGACCTGAATACCAAAAATATTATAGGGAAAGAAATTACATTAAATTTCATTTAAGAATATACATGTAAAAAATCCCAACAAAATAGTGACAAATAAAATTTAATTGTGCTTAAAGGAGATCATAATATAACCATGTCTACATTGGATATATTGTGAGTATGCTAGTAGCATAGTTTCATATTAGAAAACCCATATATGAAACTAGACACATTAACAAATTAAAACAGAATAATCTCAATAGAGTACTTGATAAAATTCAACACCTATTTTTTTCTTAAAGTATTTTATTTATTTTTATTAGTGAATTGTAGTTATATATAATATTGTGCTTCATTCTGAGATAATGAAATAAGCATGGAATATAATTTGTTCCAATTCAGTTCCCCGACATCCTCCCTTGTTTCCCTTCTTCTACTCTACTGGTCCTCTATTTATTTATAGACTTTTTTCAATTAGTGCTTTATAGATATACATAAAGGTGAAATTCCCTGCTGTATATTTATATTTGTACTTAGCATAATTTGATCAATTTCATTCCACCATTCCTTTCTTTTTCTGTCCTTCCTCCCTCCCTATCAACCCTCTGCTTCTCTGATCTCCCTTCTATTTTCATAGGGATTCCCCTACCAGCCACTTTTTCCCCCTTGGTTTGGTCTAGATTCTATATATATATAAGAAAACATTCAACCCTTTTCTTTTCTGTATGTGGCTTATTTCTCTTAGCATGGTGTTTTCCAATTCCAGCCATTTGCCAGCAAATGCCATAAGTCATTATTCTTTATAGCTGAGTAAATCATGCATATATACCATATTTTCTTTATTCTTTTTTTGATGGGCACTTGGGTTGATCTCATAATTTGACTGTTGTCAGTTGCACTGCTATAACATTGATATGACTATATCACTCTAGTATGCTGATTTTAGTTCTTTTGGCTAAATGCCAAGGAGTGGCAAAGCTGAGTCATATGGTGGTTACATTCCTATTTTTTTTTTTTTTGAGGAATATCTTTACTGCTTTCCAGAGCGTTGTACTAATTGCAGTCCCACCAATAATGTATAAGTGTACCTTTTCCCCCAACATCCTCGCCAACATTTGTTGTTGCTTGTATTCTTGATAGTTTTCAATTTGACTGGAGTGATATGAAATCTCGATGTACTTTTGATTGGAATGTTGCTAGGAATGTTAAACATTTTTTCATATATTTTTTAGTCATTTGTATTTCTTCTTTTGAGAAGTGTCTGTTTAGTTCTTTTGTTCATTTATCTATTGGAGTTAAATCTTTTTAGTTCTTTAAGTATTATGGATATTAATTCCCTGTCAAAGGAGCAGCTGGCAAAAATCTTTTATTCTGCAGGCTCTCTCTTCACACTCTTAATTGTTTCCTTCGCTGTGCAGAAGCTTTTTAATTTGATTCCATCCCATTTATAGATGCTTGGTTTTATTTCTTACACTTTAATAGTCTTGTTAGGGAAGACAGTGCCTGCACCTATATGATGGAGTATTATGCCTGTATATTTTCTTTTCTTTTTTCTAGCAGTTGC